GGTTTCTAATAGAAAACGCGCGCTTCGAAATCAAAGAACTTTCCCTCTCCCTCTCTCTCCCTCTCTTTCTCTCTTTCTCTCCTGGGTCGGTTCAAAGCCCAAGGCGAAAGGGTATCAGAGGCTGAAACGTTCCGGACATACTTCATCCACCTGAGAGGAAGCGAAACGGAGCTGGCAACTTTCCTGCGCCCCCATTAATTGACATAATTAAGCAATTAGGCGAGAGGCGTCCTGATACCTTACTCGCAATAAGTTACCTTAAGTACGTATAATTTGGGAGATATGCAACGCTCCTAAGTTGCCATAGATTCAGGGTAATTGCGAAGTGGCGAGCGGTGCGAGAGGAGTAATCGGTCGGTGAAACGTGGAAATTTTCCCTTGAATGGCGAAAACCTACGTGCAAAACGAGAATATTTTTCTCTTTCGGACAAGATAAACGATAGAACGAAAACCAAACTTCTCTCTCTCTCTCTACACGAAATTTGTTAAGAAATCGAGGAATTCGAACGGATCGGTAAATTCGAGGATATCGATACATTTCCAGGGAAACGAGTTTTCTCAATTTTTCCAAACTATAGCTGCGTGTGAAATAAATACTTTATTATTTACGTCGAATGCGAGAAAAGAGGTGAGAGAAGAATTATTCCTCCTTTTTCCATTTCGCGAGGAAACGGCGTAAATAATCGATTAATCGGATTATAATGGACGTGAGCAACGATAGAAAAAGGAGTGTCGATTGCGAATAGAAGCGTTTATCCGGCTATCACATCGATTCTGCGTATTTACTTGGACAATACGCCGCTGTATACCCCGCGCGTCCTGTGTTTTTTCATACACAACGACTCGATACACGATTCATCATTCGGAGATCAAACAGCCCTCGATGTTAATAAAAATATTTTTCCCTGCAAGAGCGGTTATAAAAGCCAGGCCAATCCCTCCTCCGTGAATCAAGATTCGATATCTCTCCCTTTCTCTCTCTCTCTCGGCTCGCTTAATCCCCTTTATGGGTCCCTTCCAAGAAGCAGGACCGTGCTTCATCGACTCCATTATGAAACATCTCGATATAAAGAGAATGCCAACCTGTTCGCAACAGGTTGCGAGGCTGAGCATGAACCGATCTCAACTTTATTTACGGAAAAGCTCCAAGAAAAAGAAAAATATTCTCCAGATTCGAAAGTCGGGTGTTCGACGGGTGACAATGGACGTTAAGCAACCTGTAATGTAAAATTCTCATTGAAATTCTCCATTCTCATTTCAAAAATTCGAAAAGAATGGCGTTCTACGACGTAAGAAACGCGGAGTGCGTTATTGGCGCGGTTTATCCCCAAAGGGTGTTACGCGCAACAACCATTCTGTCGTGGTGCACGCTGTTCGGCTTTGAAAGTGGTTGTTCCCTTCATTCCTGGGGGGAGGGGGGTACAAGTTGGCCTCGCACACGATCCTATCACCGTGGCCGAGGTGGGCGTGCATCCCGAAAGCTGAACGCAGGAATGCGACGCGGAGGGTTTCGATCCAACCTCGAGAATGCGTCCACAACCTCGACGTTGCATTATCGGCCGTTAACGCGTTTCTACAATTATTATTAATATATGCTCCGTAATACGTGTATTTGGAACGAGGCAGCGCGTGTATAACGCGAAATACGTTTATGCAAATGATACGCTTATATATCGCGAGCGGCGAATCTCGTAGCGTGGAATTTCGGTAAATACGATGATGCAAATATTATCCAATTTCGCTTCACCTTTTGCGAATTTTTAACGTTTGCCGGAGGGAATATGAAACGCGAATCCGAAACACGACGTTGGAAAGAAGTTTCTTTCGAGGAGACGTGCAAAGTTCCTTCGATATTTCAATTCGAAGTCGAATTCTTTTCATCTTCTATTCTCGATATTCTCTATATTTTTTATATGGAGGTCGAAATTACATGGAGGCTCGAAAAATTTATTTAATATTTCTCCTTCGCGATTCGTCGCGAAAATCTTTTAACCCTCCGATAGTTTAATCAACGACAAGAATTTAATTCCGCGGGGAGTTTTGGCAACAATGCCGAAGAGGATCAAGTATTCGATCGAGCTTACGCCATGCTTAAAGACAATGCGCGGAATTCTCCTCAAAGAAAGTTCCTGAACGTTGACTGAACGTAACCGTCGCACGGAACAAAAGAGGGGAACGATGCCTTATCTCGAGACGTTTTCCACTTTTTCCCTTCTATTGCTTCTTCCCTACGGTTATTCGCCAGAAGTCGCGCGAGCGGTGGCGACGAATACGAAATCCGGTTGAAAAGGAATCAATGCGACGAGGTAGAATACGTTGGCAGCCGGATGCATCCATCCGCATCCTCCTTTTTCGAGAAATAAACCGAAACCGATATCGAGTAGCTCGAACGACCGAGACTGAAGTCGTATTTCAAGCTGAAACCATCCTGTCTTCCAACTCCAAAATGCATATTCAATAAACCTTAAAGAGATTTCTACTCCAGTTAATTTAACGCGAAGAAACATTTATGTAAACGAGGGAGGCGAACTGGCGAAGTCATTCGTCAACTTATTTTTCCACTTTTCGTATCGAACCATTCCTTCTCTCCGTGCTTCGTTCCGAGCAAATCGCGTTTATTTTATCCTCGAATACTTCTGTGATGAATTAATAACGTAAAAATGCATCCATATTTTCAAGCTCGTTCATAATTTCACAAATTCATATCGATCTTGATGTTATCCTCGTAGAGCGATGTTTCATCTTCGAGGAAGAAAATACGCACGATTAACGTTTCGACGTAATGCGGGAAAGTTAGAAGTGTGTTCTCCGCACAACGAGAGAAACAAAATGGAAGAAGGCACGAAACGTGCATCGAGGTGTAACATCGGAAGGAGAAGAGCAAGGAGGATGGAACGAAGTAACGAAGGTGAAACGCGAGAGCGTTAGCATGTCCCGGATGTTTCGTGCTGGTAATTAAAGGCTGTGAGGGAACAGCAACGCTTCAACCAGGGTGCACATTTACAAGGGTGGTTTGATAACCGTTATGAAAAATCTCCACTCGTGGAGAGCGGCCGAAATAGCAACCACCTTTCGATATAAGCCGAGGTTGCCGTGTCGGCCCACTTCGGCATCGGTTCAATCTCCAGGAGGCACGTGCACGCCAGCCAAGACGAAAAACCAGACATCGACATTCCCATCCCCTCTGGAAAACCGCTTTTTAAATCGATAAAAGAAGGGGTGCTAGCTTTTTATTTTTCCATTTACTGCCAAGCGATAAACTTTTGACACACGATGTTAACTTCCACTTGTGCATCCAAGTTTTTCCCTTCCCTGAACTTCTATTGGGAGATAGATTCTTCCGTTTCGAAGTGAATATCGAATCGAGTTCTTTCTATAAATTCCATAATTGCCAAGGAGAATGAAGAAGAATTTTTGCTATAGAAGCGGAATGTGGAATTTCTTCGTCCGAAAAAGCGAAAAATTTACAAGTTTTCTAATATTCTTAATTAACAGCGCATTTATCGATATCGCCCGAGGAAGAAATTCTAAAATTCCATCGCCATCGATGCACAACGCAAGGGAAGGCGCGTATTAATAAGAATTCTCGAAACGCATTACCGCAAGGGATGGCCACCAACTGTTTGATAGGGCTCGGTACGCGAACCCTTTCTTCCCTATTTCACGCAGAGTGGGCGCCCTGTTGAAAACAATGGACGAAAGAATCGTCTGGCTATAATGCACGAGCGTAGTAGTAGCAGACGGGACTGACAAGTACCGGCACGCTAATATAGAAGGAACAATGCGACATCGGCGGGAGAGAGAGAGAGAGAGAGAAAGAGAGAGTTTTCCAGGGCTCTTGAAACAATTAACGGCACCGCCGTTAATCTCCGCGCTCGACCCTCCATCGCGTCAATCCGCGCCAGATTCGCGGCGATTTAAAAAGTTTCCGAATAAATCGAATCCCACCCTTCAAACGGTTATCTGAGGTAATTTCCAACGCCTCTTCGATTGAACGGCTCTAATTATCGTCGAAAAATATTAATGGTGTCGATGATAACGGAGGATAAATATTATTCGTTTTCCTCTTCGGATATCGAGAGTGAAAAAGAATTTGAACTGATTCTTTTTTGAATGGAAATTGAATTGAAATTAGAAGAAAAATAATTGTGGTGTATATTAACGTAGAAATTAATTAGTTAAAAAAATGACGCGAGAGACTTGCAATTTCTAAGAAATACGAAGAACTCTATCGAGAAGACGATAACCAAGACTATTGAGAAAAGTAGAATCGTTTGAAAAAAAATTTGTTCGCGAAATTTTTAGATACAATTACAATTGTATTTGAGTTTTTTTTTCTATCACCTCTTCGTTGAATCATCCTGTATGTACAGGGAAAAAGACAAATTGACGACGATTTCATAAGAACTCCGCTGACTCCGTGGAAAAATCTTGCGCACGCAGATCCATTCAATCAGACGAATAAGAAACGATTCGAAAGAACGGTCTGGAGCAAGATACTTGGTATAATAAGTAGCTGTCCAATCGAACAGATGGTTCAATTTATTACAGGCTTTGGCCGAGCAATCAAGGCCGATAATTAAACTTCTGAAATTCGTCGGAGAACTGAAAAGTGCTTGGCAAGCAGTAGTCGCTGCTATCAATTACGATGACAAAAACTTATTAAAGTCGTTGGTTATCGATACGTATATCCGATCCATCGCGATGAAGATAGATTCTCGCTCTTCATCATTGAATTCCATCTTCCATCCTGGTTTTTGAATTCCATCTTCCATCGTTTTTGATATTGTTATTTTATATCTTAAAAAATTATCTTTATCGCCTAACTCGATGAACGAATTAAGACAAACTTGATCTCACGGCGATAAATAATCGACGAGCACATAAGAGAATGATAATACGAAATGAAACGGGATTGAAGCGATATGGATTAAATGGAGACGCGAAAATAAAAATTTCTGTGAATTAAAAAGCGTTGAAACGGATAAAAATGAGCTTACCTTTGCCGTGCACTTGCTGTCTATTCGTGTCCGCGCGAAGCGCTTCCGCCGTGTGCACCAGCTCGTCCAACTGCGGCTTTTTCTGCCCCAGCTCTCGTAGGACATCCTGTACAAACCAAACAAGAATTAATTTAGTTATTAAAACGTCATCACAGTTTACAATTTTTTTAAAAGAGACTAAACGTTGCGCGCCTCGATTGAAAACGAGAAATGATGATGGCTCTCTTTCGATCACCTATACGTGTATTTTTCTTTTTTTTTTTTTTTTTAAATACGCAGTAAATCAAAATTTATATCCATATCTATAAAAGCTTCTACCGATCAAAAACCAACTTCGTTAATATTCGAACACTTGGAAAATTTTTGTTGGATCAAACCGCAATGACTGGTTTCGCTGTTTATTTCGTTAAAAAAAATATCTGATTTTTATTCTATTTATATTTTCCTTTTTTTTTTCTTTTCATCTTTTTAATTGAAACCGAACACAAATACGTAGCATGCGATAAATCAAAATTGATAAAAGGTACCAATCGATCAACAATCATTCGTTCGGTAAATAACCATAAACTATCGAAAACTTTGATTGGAATCAAATTGCAATGATC